CGGCCGCGGCAAGGCGTCACCGGCCACCGGCCGCCGAGACCTGGCCATCTAGGGGCGGGCCCCGCCTCGCGCGGGCTGGACGGCGAGGGCCGGACCCCGCCACCTCCGCCGCCCGCACCGCAGAAACCGGAAGCTGCTTTCACCAGAGCTGTGGTGGGACTTGCCCTGGCAGGAGACGCGCTGTGGGGACGGCCCGCGGGCGGCATCGCACTTGCCTCGTACTGCCTCCCAGTGGATGCCGGCAGCACCTGGGGCAGGCCGAGCTGGGGGCGGAGAATGAACTCAGGCGGGTCCTGGATGCCACCACCCAGGTGGAAAGGAAGGAGACCAGGGCCCTGAGAGAGAGTGGACCGGAGGGGGAGAGCAGAGCGGAAGAAGGTGGAGGGTGGTTGTTTTACTGGGGACAAAAACAACTGTGATGCCAGCATTCTCAGGCACTCTCTGTGTTCAGAGAGTGGTCCCCATGTGGGCTCTCTGTGAATGTGCACACACGGACACATAAGCACTGCGAGCTGTGTGCACGCGCACCTGTACACCCTGTGTGAACACTGTGCATGTGCGCGCATGCGTACACCCTGCGTGAGGCCCACTTGTGCACACACACGAAACCCTTCCGGGTGAGCTGTGTGCACATGCACATAGACACATGTATGCCCCGTGAGAGCTGTGTGCTCACATCCTTGTGAGCTTTGTCTGAGTGCGTTGTGCACACACGCACATGTGCAGCCTGCTTGGGCTGCGTGTGCACACCTGTACACAGAAACATCCTTGTGCACTATGTGTGCATGTGTACATCCTGCGTGACCTCCGTGTGTGCACGCGTGTGTGTGTGATCTCTGATATGCACTGCAGGGGTGGCCAGGGTCCGATGTCAGCAGCAGACACAATGGCTCCCTCCCTACCACCCTAACCGAGCCCACCTGCCGGGGCATCACAGAAGGTCTGTCCTCCTCCCAAGAGACCCCGCCCAGCGAGGGAAGAGGAGGAGGCCTTCCCAGGGCAGGCCTCGATCCTCGGGAGCCTATGAGCACATCCTCACTGTCCGCCTTGTAGCGAGGCGGGGGCTGGGCCCTTTCATGGAGGTGGGGTGGGGGTGGGCCGCGGGCCAGAGGGCAACCCAGACATGTGTTATGCCTCCCTCCTCCATCTGCATCCTCCCCGCCGCTACTTCTCCCCCAGGCTATAAACGGGAAAGTCTCTTCCGTCCGCAGGAGAAAGCTCCCAAAACGCGCTCCGGGCCCAGCCTTCCCTTCGGACCACCCCCTTCTTCTTCCTTGCGGGCATTGGAAGAACCACTGCCTATGCAGCGCATCCCCCTCCTGTGTCTCCCCTCCCGTCTGCCCTCCACCTTCACCAGCCAGTGGGCTGCTCTCCATGAGATCACCCAGGACCTAACTGATAAATCCAGGGGCCATCATCGGACTGCACCTTGAGGGCCTCACCGCATCCTGCCAACCAGGCTGTGCGTTCCCCGCCATCACCCCACCCTGTCCTTCTGAGTTCCTGGCATCATTCTCAGCTCTCCTCCTGTGCCCGCACAGCAGTGGGAGGTCTTTCTGAATAGCTCCCCCGCTACTTAAACCCGGGGCTGGGGGCAGCACCCCTGCCCTCAGGTGAGTCCAGCGCCTCACAAGGCTTCCTTCTGAAGCCCTGCCCCCGTCAGGCCTCCGACCCCACAGCACCGGCTTCCAGGTGTGCTCAGAACCATAGGGAATTTTCTGTTCTAACAAGCACCAGGCCTGCTTGCTGCCAAGCGTTTGAACGTGCTGTCCCTTTGCCCAGAGCAGCCGCTGCTTCCTGCAGCCTTCTCCTCCCCTAGGTAATGCCCCTCCACCTTTTGTTGTCACTTGGGAAGAAAACAGACACCTTCAAGGAAAGGGCTTCCCTGGTAGCCCCCAACCTAAGACAGAGCTGGATGCCTGTTGCTTCCCTAGGGAGAGCACTTCTCCTGCAGGATGGCATTGCTCTCTCCCCTTCCATGGCACGTAGTATGTGCTCACTAAATATGTGTTGGATGAGAAACTGAAGGTGTCCCCAGGCCTACACCATTGCCATGCCCGAACACTATCCATGCTATGGTGAGCACCATCTCTCTGATGACAGTTCTGTGTCCACAGCCCAGACCCCTCCACACAAACTCAGATGGGGCTGTGCGGCTGTTTTCCAGATGTATTCATTCAACAAATATTTGTAGAGTACCTACTATGTGTCAAGTGATGTTCAAGATCAGCATCATCCAATGGAAATAGAGTGTGAGCCATGTATGTAGTTTCAACTTTTTCATTAGCCACATTAAAAACGTAAAAGGAAACAAGTGAAATTAATTTGAGTCCTGTATTTTCTTTAACCTAGTATATCCAAAACATTTTCATCTTAATGCCTCATCGATATTAAAAAGTATTAAGGAGATAGTTTACATTCTTTTTTCATTCTTCCAAATCTGCACCCACCTAGCCAATTCTTTCCTCTAGAGATTTAGCAATGAGCCGAGATAGTGCCCCTGCACTCCAGCCTGGGCTACAGCGGGAGACTCCGTCTCAAAATAAATTAAATTAAATTAAAAAGAGACTTAGCTGAGAGGGGCCACTTCTTCCTGGAAGGCGTCTGAGCCCTGCCCCAGGCCTGGTTCAGGGCCTCTGCCCTGCACTCCCATAGGCCTGTCAAGCCTGTTGCAGCCCTGCCCAGGGGACATCCGGTCACCTTCCTCTGGCTCAGTCTCCCTGCGGAGGATGGGCCCTGGCTCAGTGCAAAGCGCATCAGCCCTGGAGGACCATACTCCACAGCAGTGGATCTCAACTGGGGGTGATTTTGTCCCCTAAGGGGACATTTAGCAATGTCTGGAGACATATTTGGTTGTTACAGCTGGGGTGGGGGAGAAGCACCAGTAGGGTTTCACGGGCGGAAGGTTGGAGATGTTGCTTAGCATCCTGCAATGCACAGGACAGCCCCCACACCCTGGCTCAGATCTTCACATTGGTGCTGACGCTGAGCAGCTCTGCTCGACAACAGTGAACTGTCGAGCACTGAGAACAACCCCAAGAGGGGTTCCCAACAGCAAAGGCGCTACCCCAACGGGCACTTTGTAAATGTGGGGGCCACTGCTTTGTTTTGACAATGATGGGGAACCCCATTGGCATTTAGTAGGCAAGGGCTATGGACGTCAAGATATCCTCTCAAAATAAAAACCTGCCAGGCACGACTTTATTTTTATTTTTATTTTTTGAGACAGGTCTCCGTCTGTTGCCCAGACTAGACTGCAGTGGTGTTATCACGGCAGCCTCAACTTCCAGGGATCCACCAACTCTCCCACTTGAGCCCGCCTAAGTAGCTGGGACCACAGACGCACGCTACCAGGCTATGCTAATTTTTGTATTTTTTTTTGTGGAGACAGGGTTTCATCATGTTGCCCAGGCTGGTCTTGAACTCCAGGACTCAAGTGATCCGCCAGCCTCTGCCTCCCAAAGTGCTGGGATTACAGGCGTGGGCCACTGCACCTGGCCTCAGACACAACTTTAGAATGTCCAACTGGACATTGGCATAAGTGAAAAACCTGGGCCCAAATCTCATTTTACATGTAAAACATTACATGTAATGTTTTGGGCTTTTTTTGGACTTTTTGTTTGTTTGGGCTTTTTTTGCATAGTTTTATTATAAATCAAACATGTCGATTTTTATCCCAACATCCACCCATGCTCTTTAATCTTCCTGGGCTTCTTGTACAGAATGGCTTCCAACCTTCTTTTAAATTTAAATGTAGTCATTCAAAAGAGGGGCAAGCATTAATGTATTGAAACACATAGCACTGCCCCTCAATTTATCCTTTATGATACGGTTGTGACAACATATTGATTTGTGAAATCACTTGTACAGGTACAGTATGTTAAATATCATTTCAGACTCAAAGAAGTTAGAAAATATTTACTGGAGGAAAAGCGCCTCGGTCCACACGGTTGCCTCCAGCCTGGCGCGGCCGTTGAGTCAAGCAAGGCGCTGCCGCCACCTAGTGGTTAACGTAGAAATGGCAGGCAACCCCTAGCAGAAGGAACCCTTTGCCTTACCCCACCCCCTCCAGACCCCCACACCACTTGGAGGAAGAGGGCTGGGCTCCTAAGCTTCCATCCCAATCCTGTGTTCTTGTTAGGTTTCTTTCTTTTCTTCTTTTTCTTCTTCCTTCCTTTCTTTCTTCTTCTTTCTTTTCTTTCTTCTTTCCTTTTTTTTTCTCTCCTCTCTCTTCTCTTCTTCTTCTTCTCTCTCCCCTTTCTTTCTCTTTTTTGAGATGGAATCCTGCTGTGTCGCCCAGGCTGGAGTGCAGTGGCGCGATCTCGGCTCACTGCAACCTCCGCCTCCCAGGTTCTGCCTCAGCCTCCCGAATAGCTGGGATTACAGGCGCCCACCACCACGCCCAGCTAATTTTTTTTTGTATTTTTAGTAGAGACGGCGTTTCACCATGTTGGCCAGGCTGGTTTTGAACTCCTGACCTCAAGTGATCCGCCCACAGCCTCCCAAAGTGCTGGAATTACAGGTGTGAACCACTGTGTCTGGCCTCTTGTTAGGTTTGTATGAGTCCCTGACCCCAGCTCCTGTGCCATCTGTCATTGCTGCTGTGATGGTCAAGGCTGGACCCAGCTTCTGGCTTCCTAAGGACCAGGAATGTCTAGGGGTGGGTCCGGCTTCCTCCCTCAGACTGGGGGTTCCCTGAAGGTGGGGGCAGCTTTCCTCCTCTCCCCTCCCACTCCCAGACTGGGGCTCCTTGACATGGGCAGTGGGGATCTCCAGACTGAGGGCTTCCCAAGGGGCAGGACCTTCTTCTCAGCATCTCCAAAGACCCCAGCACAAGGTAAGCCTCAGAAGGCAGCTTGGAAGGGTGCCCTGGCCAGCCCCTTGGCCCCAGTGCTCATTCCTGACCATCACAGGCCCAGAGTACATGAGGAAACCTATTCCGAGCCCCCAGCCCAGACGCCAAGAAGAGGGGGTGGAGGCAGCAAGGCTGGAGGCATGTGTAGAATAAATAGAACTTTATTCTTTATCCAGTAGATCTCAGTGGAAAGCCCAACAGTAACAGGTGCACCCACGGGCTCCAGGGGAAGGGCCCCAACCCCTGGTGGAGGTCAGGGCAGAGCCGGCTCCCCCAGCCAGGGGTGCAGGGGTGAGGGGAGACCCCCTGTAGGCCCGTCCTGCGGGGTAAGGAGGGGGCACGGGGATGGGACAGGGGGGAGGTGGGGGGCAGGCCAGGGAAATGGAGGAACTCAGGCCAAGTGTGTGTCGGCCCATCTACTGTCCAGTGTGTGTGTGTGTGTGTGTGTGTGTGTGTGTCTGTGTGCGCTCACGCATGTGTGTGGGTGTGTCTCGGGGCCCTGTGGGGGTGCTGGTGGCTGAGGCTGGGGGTGGGGGCAGCTCAAGCCCCTGGCCAGCCCCTTCACAGTGGGGGCTGGGAGGCCTGGATGATGTGGGCCCTGACGGGAGGCAGCTCTGCCGAGGAGCTGGGTCTGTGAAAACTCCGTGTCCTGGGGCCCCTGCTCGGCCCCTGCTCCATGGCTCATGGTGGGTGCAGGCAATTGCCAAGGCCAGGAGCCTGTCCTTCCAAGGCCACCCCACACCGTCCACACCCAGTGGTCAGGCAGAAGGAGAAAGGGCCTGGCAGCTTCTCCAGCGCGAGGGAGGGGAAGGCAGGTCTTGGAAAGTTAGTACTTCACAGTTTTAAAGAGAAAACTGAGGAGGAAAAGGCTGAGGAGGAGAACTGGGGGGCACAGGGACACGAAAGGAGAGTGGGGGCCCCTTCTGAGCCACTCCCTCCCCCGGACCCACCCCCTCCAGCTCTGGATCCAGCTCCCCCCAATACACAGCACAAATTCCTTCAGTATAAATGTGCTTAAAATGAAAATTCTTATTAAAAAAAATCAAAACCAAAAAAATTAAAATAAAAACAAAACCAGCGAGAATTAATACCTGGGGTTGGTACGGCAGGGTATGTACAGGGGGAACCCCCCGCCCCTGTCCCACCCCCTCTGTCACCAACCAAGGCAGGGGGGAGGCTGAGGTTCCCCAGCTGGGGAGCAATGGCTTGTGAGTTCTGAGGATGGGGGAGCCAAGTCCTGGCATTTGCTGGTGATGAAGATGTGGTGAGCTGGGCAGAGGGGTGTCCTGATGAACACGAGGCCCCCAGGGGACCCATCCTGAGACCCGGGACCAGGGCCTCACTCAGTTCCCGGCCTCGGCCTCTGACGTCAGCCCAGGCTGTGGGAGCAGGCAGTCCACTGAGGACCCAGGCCTCTGTCCAAGGAGTTGCTGCCTCCTCCCTCCCCGTCCCCCAGGGAAGGTCCCCAGTGCTGCCCGGGAGCACAGGTGGGGGCAGGGCTGGCAGGGGTCACATGGTCGGTAGAAAGGCAGAGAAAAGCCGGGGCGGAGGGCGAGGGTTGTGTCCATGTGGCGCGGGCGGTCACGGGGAGTGGGTGGCCGGGCTGCTTCTGTTGGAGCTGGGGCTGAGGCTGGGGCTACAGCTGCCTGGCGGGGGGGCCAGGCCACCCCCGTCCCGCCCCCCGCCCCCCGGCTGTCCGCTCAGAGTGTCCAGGCCCTCTGAGTTCTCCAGCATTTCCTGGATGAGAGGCGGCATGGAGCCCGGGATCTCCATCTTCAGCGTGATCACCCGCTCAGCCCCTGCGGGAAAGGAGGGGCAGAGCTCAGCACACCGGGCCAGCCCTCCCACCCCCGGCCCCAGCAAGCCTGGCTCCAGGTGGGAAGATCAATACTACTGATACTAGCTCTTTCTTGGGATTCAGTTCTTTGACATGAGCCAGCTCTCTTAGCCCCCAAGTCCAGAGGCTGGTGGCAATGGGGCAAAGTGGTCCTGAACTCTGGTTCCAGGGCCAGACTGCCAGCCTGGGCTGGACACCAAGTCCTGCCTTCCTCTATGCTGTGCGCTAGGGATTATCCTGACTCCTCCGTCAACACTATCGTTATCCCTGCCCCTCAGAAGGGAAACTGCAGCTCGGAGCTGTTAAGTGACCCGCACAAGGACACACACCCATGTGTCTGGTTCCAGAACCATGATCTGAACTACCACAAGGTGAGTGACACAGACAGGTCACTAGGGGACAGTGGAGTCACTAGGGGACCTCGGCCTAGACACAGATGGGGACAGGTGTCGTATTCTCCTGGCACAAAGACACAGGGTGCTGGCTTGGATGTGGGGGCCTGGGCCAGGCCTCTCCAGGTCTGGGAGCCTCACCCTTGGCGCTGATGCTTCGCAGGTCAGTGATCTTCATCAGCATCTTGGGGAACATGTGGGGGCGGCTGGGCCTCCGCTTTCGCACGTAGACCTTTAGCGCCTCCAGCAGCGGCTCCTGCAGCATGTCCACACGGTCAGGCTGCTCCAGGTCCTGACGGTCTGAGGAAGCAGAGCCACCCCCTGAGCAGCTGGGAACACAGCTGCACCCCCAGCCTCGGCCACCGGGGGGCGTGCCTGCCCAGGCCATGGAAGAGGACAGCTCGCAGGCGCCTCCCCACACAGGGCAGGGCACCGGGTCTCTGCTGCTGCAGGGGATAGAGCCCCTTAAAAGGGAGCAACGGGCTGAGGGTAGCAGGGTGCCCCAAACCCTCCCTATGAGCCCAGTTCATGGGATGGGACCCCAAATGGGCAGTGTCATCCCCAAGCAGGGAGAGGGTTCCCAGGCAGGCTCCCACTCCCACCTGTTATTCTGGAAACCAGATGAAATGGCAGAAATCACAATAAAATAGCAACTAACATGCACTGGAGCTCGCTCTGGCACCTGCACAGGGTGTTACCACCGTAATCCTCCCATCAACCTCATGAGCTAGAGACCGTTCCTGCCCCCACTGTACAGAAATGGAGGCCCAGAGAAGTTCAGCAACCTGCTCAGGCTCATGCATCAGCCAGGAAGTGACCCTGGGAGGTCCGACCCTCAAACCCTCACTCAACCTCCCTAGAAGGGGTGTTGCCCAGAAATCAGGAACAGGAGTCCAGGCCGAACACGGCCCCCTTGCTGTGTAGCTGCAGACCAGATCCTGCCCTCTAGAGAGGTCTGACAAGAGGCGGCCGGAAAGAGTTCCCTGGAAGACTCCGGGGCTACACTCCTGCCCCAGGCCCAGCCCCTAGACCCAGGCCCCTGCCCACCTCCGCAGATGAGGCAGATGGCGCTGAGCAGCCCCGTCTCCGCATCATCCATCTCCAGGGGCAGCAGCTGGTTGGCGAAGGCAAAGACCAGGTCGGTGAGGGGGCCGAAGCCAGCGTTGTGCATCTGGGTCCGGTTCAGGGTCAGCCCGTCCGAGAAGGTCATGGTGTCCTGCTCGGGTGTGTACCGCGTGCAGATCCGCAGGATCTGGGTGCAGAGGATGCACGGGTTCAGGGACTGAACCCCACCCACTCCGAGCACTCGGCACCAGCACTCCCAGAGGACCACCTGGCAGGCGGCCAGAGCAACGCTGTCTGATAGAATTTTCTACAATGATGGAAAGGTTCTATGTCTGCACCATCCAATACCTCAGCCACCAGCCACATGCGTCTATTGAGTACTTGAAATGTGGCTAATGCAATTGAGGAACTGAATTGAGTTTAATTTTAATTAATTTAAATTTAAATAGTCACATGTGGCAAGCAGCTACTGTACTGGACAGTGCAGGTCCAGGTCATCCTGCCTCCATGCAGAGAATTTAGGAACACTGGGCTGCTGCCTACAGCTCCCAGGATGGGGCACACAACAGGTGCTCAGTAAACGTGTATTGGCTTGAACTATGTTGCAGGAACCCAGACCGCGCCTCCTGCATCCAGGGCGTGGGGATGAGAGCCCCTGCAGGCAGCACAATCTAAACCTCCCACTCATCACCCGCCTCAACATTCAGAGGCATCCACAGGGAAATGACAGTCTGCCAGGCGCCATGGCTCACACCTGTAATCCCAACACTTTGGGAGGCCGAGATGGGTGGATCACCTGAGGTCAGGAGTTTGAGACCGGCCTGGCCAACATGGTGAAACCCCGTCTCTACTAAAAATACAAAAATTAGCCTGGCGTGGTGGCGGGCACCTGTAATCCCAGCTACTCAGGAGGCTGAGGCAGGAGAATCGCTTAAGGCAGCGGTGGCAGGCTGCAGTGAGCCGAGATCGTACTACTGCACTCCAGCCTGGGTGACAAGAGTGAAACTCCGTCTCAAAAAAGAAAAAAATAAAAGGAAATGATAGCCTCGTCAAATCCCAGGTTCCCCACCCTGGAGGTGACCAAAAGGGAACAGGTGGACTTGAGCCCTTGTCAGGGAGAGCCGGAAGGAGAGCGCTCCCTCCAGCCTAGGCTTTGGCAGTTCCCCCTGCCTCTTCCTGCCCCCACCCCCTGCATCCAGCCTCCAGCCCAGTCCACCCTCGGGCTCACTGAGTGCCCGGCAGTCCCCTGAGCTCAGCCCGGCCTCACAGCAGCAAGTCTTTCACTTCTTGCTCCTGAGTTAGGGTTACCCTCTCACCTCCCCCTCTACAAACCCCTAGATGTCACCTCCTCTGAGACACCATCCTTCAGGTCCGAGCAGTCATGAGCCCTCCCCCCATCTCCAGGTAGCATTGATCACAGTTTTGCAACCTCTGTTGACTTATCTCTTGCCTCACATGGAAGGTTTTCAAGAGTGGGGATGGTGGCACGTTCACCGCTGGGTTCCTGACACCCAGTTCGAACACTGGCCAGAGGATCCTAGGTGAATCTTTCTAATTTTTTGCAGAAACAAGGTCTCACTATGTTGCCCAGGGTGGTCTTGAACTTCCAGCCTCAAGCGATCCTCCTGCCTCACTTGGTCTCCCAAAGTGCTGGGATTACAGGTATGAGCCACTGCGCCTGGCTCCTAGGTGAATCTTTATTGCTGGCTAACTGGATGGATGGATAGATGGATGGATGGATGGATATGTGTGTGGGTGAACAGGTGAGCTCCTGCACATCTGGCTGCTAGGTGGCTGAGTGGACGGGGAGATGAGTGGACAGGTGGACACATGGGGAGAGGAATGGCTGACATTTGGACAGTGGGCATTTGGACAGGTTGACTGCAGACACACATGTAGGATGGTGGCTGTCTGGCTGGAAGGCCATCTACCCAGGACACAGGGGCAGTGCCTGGGGGACAGAGTGCAGACCCTCACCAGGATGTCCAGGCAGGCAGCCTTGAGGAGGGTGATCTGGTCGGCGATGGTGAGGGTGGTGAAGCCGGGCAGCTGCTTGGCGAACTCCACAGTCTTAATGATGCACTTGGTGGAGAGTTCACTGAACTTGTCCCAGAGGTCAATGTCCAGAGAGACACGTTGTTCTGAGCTGTTGTTCTGGGGGAGGAGGGAGAGTGAGGGCCTTCTTCTCTATGGCACCCCTTCTCGGCCTGGCTCCAGCCCCCACAGGCCTGCCCTCTACCTAGCCTTCACTTCCTGGGAGCTCCTTAGGAAGAGGCAGCAGCGGGAGGGAGAAGAGAGGGAAAGGGAAGGACGAAGAGATCCAGCCAGGGGGGAGGAGGAAATGCCTGGCACAAGAAGGGGTGTCTGAGAGGGGCCCGTCCTGGCCCTGCGGCCCAGGGCACATCCCTCCCTGCAGGCCAGGGGAAAGCCATACCGTAGTGTATTTGCCCAGCTGGCAGAGGGCAGGGAAGGTTTCCTGGTGCGCTTTGCGCACCTTCTCAATGAGCTCCCCCACCTCCGGCGTCAGCGTGTAGCTCTCGGAGCACTCGGGCTTGGGCACCTCCTTCTTCTTCTTGTTTCGGTCATTTCTCACAGCTGTGGAGGGCAGAGGGGGTTAGAGGGCAGCTGCAAGCTGCTTAGGGCCTCGTCCACCCCCAGCCTGACAGAGAGCCGCCAGCTGCTGAGGAGGTCACCCCGGCTTGTAAGCACACGCACACAGCACGCATTCACAGGCAGGCAAGGCATCGCCACGCACTCCAGCCCTCCATGCCCACCCAACCCACACAGCAAGTTCGGCCCCAGAAGCCCTATGAGCACAGCTGTGGCCCTGCACACACACCCCCGCAGCCAGCCGAGTGCTGTCCCCCACGCGTCTACTCCAGCTCACACTCCAGGCGCCGGTGTCTCCCTCCTCGGTGCTCTGCCTCCTCTTTCCCCAGGAAGGTCCTTCTCCCACCTCCACTCACCCAGCCCTCCCAGCTGCAGTCTCCCTGGGGGTCCCTTGGGACTGGCTCTGAGCAGCTCCTGGGACAAGTGGGGAGTAGGGCTCCCCAGCCTGAGAGTGGGGGGCCCGGCAGGGAGAATCTCTTGGCCCATTAGCTGGGGAGCTGACAAATCACCAGGGGCGCTGAGCCGCACACACCACTCGGCTTTAAAGAAGCGATGGGGTCGTTACCAGCCGATTATCCCAGACACACAATCACTCACAGGGCTGGTGGTGGTGGCTGCTGACGCGGGAGGAAGGGAGGGTGGGGGAGGGGCTCAGGGAGGGGGTAGCGAGGAGGGGGTAGCTGGCATAATTTGGAGATCACTCATGTCGATTCTGCAAATTCAATAAAGTGCAGGGGAGAGAAGGGAGAGGGAGAGGGAGAGTGGGGGGATAATTTGGGAAGAGAAAATTGCAGCTGTGACAAGACGTTTATCATTCGGAAGCTTTAATTCTATTGAAATGGCAGCTGCTCAGCTCCGGGGCACAGAGCAGCCGGGAGAGGGGGAGTTGGCGGTGGGAGGGAGAAGGGGAGTTGGTGGGAGGGAGACGGGGTCCCCACCCTGGTCCTTCTGCCATGAAAAGAGCAGAAGGTGGCACAAACAGAGGGAAGAGGAGGTGACAGCCCTTAAGTGAAGGGTTCCAGGCTTGTGGGTCTCGAGTTGTCACCCACTCTTGCAGCAGGACCCATCACTTCCTGGGCTCAGGACAAGGCACCCCCAGCCTCCTGTGGCAGGACACTCCAGTCCCCTCCTTTCCTGTCCGGGGCTCTTCGTCCAACAGTCAGAACCATCTCACCCGTGCCCCCTCCCCACTACCCTCCCCACAAAGGGCTGGGGGTCCTGCAGCCCCCTCCCCCATCCCATCCCCCAAGGCTCAGGCTCCATGGCAACGGCCACGCAGACAAGGAGGCGTCTGTCAGCGTCATTTATCTCTGACATCATCAATCACCGGTCACCAGGGCAACACCCATGATTCAACACAAGAGGGTCTCCCTGTCCAGCCTTTCCTTCCCTCCCTCCATCAGGCCTCAGCTGAGCCCAAAGTGGAAACCCCGTTTCCTCTGGGATCTGAGAAGTCCCAATTCTTTCTTCCAACTCTGGATCCCAGGCTTAACTAGACAATGGCTTCTGGATCCTTGTGCCAGCCCCTCCACCCCCCCCGTACACACGTAAGTCCAGCCAAGCACCCCTCAGAATTCAAGCCCCTCCCCTAAGACTCACAATCAGAAGGGACTAACTATGCCTCTGAGCCCCACCCCAAAGCCAAGCAAGGCCTGGAAGAAAGCCATCCTGGAGCAAACACACATGCACACATGCGCAAAAGCACACACAGCCAGACGCACAGAAACAGGAACAGTTACACACGGTCCTGGAGCACAGACCTGCCCATGCACACACAGCCAGACGCGCAGAAACAGGAACGGTTACACACACACGGTCCTGGAGCACAGACCTGCCCATGCACACACAGCCAGACGCGCAGAAACAGGAACGGTTACACACACACGGTCCTGGAGCACAGACCTGCCCATGCACACACAGCCAGACGCGCAGAAACAGGAACGGTTACACACACACGGTCCTGGAGCACAGACCTGCCCATGCACACACAGCCAGCCAGACTCGCAAACAGGTCCTTGCAGCTACACACAAACCATCCTCAACCGTGAGCCCGCACACCACGGCATGCGTGTTCATGCATGTGCACACACATCCACAGAGCCCTGCTCCCTTGGTCTTTAGGAGCACCTGAGGCCCCAGCTCAGGCGGGACTCGGCTCTTGCCCCATGGCACTCACACTCCTTGGACATGCCCACTTCGAAGCACTTCTGCAGTCGGCAGTACTGGCAGCGGTTCCGGGTCACCTTGTTGATGATGCAGTTCTTGTCCCGGTGACACGTGTACACCATGTTCTTCTGGATGCTGCGGCGGAAGAAGCCCTGGGTATGGAGGGGAGGGAGTCAGGTTGTCCACACCCACAGTGGCAGCAGTGCCTGGCTATAGTCTCAGTCTAGGGGAGGAGGGCCAGGCCAGCTGCTACCCCCAAGCCTTTGCCCATCGCCTACCTGAGCAGGCCAGAAAAGCTGGGGAGAATGATTCACCTAAAAGGATCCTCCTCAGGAGAATCCCAGTACCCGCCTCAACGCCGCAGGATGGGCAGGAGTCTTCCCCCAACCCACAGCACACATCTGACTCCTCCCTTCCAGGGAAAGGACCTCAGGGCTGCTGGTGAGTCAGAAAGAGGAAGACATGGGGCTAACTGGGAAACAGCCAGGAATCTGGAACCCACAGCCCTGAACTCAGAACACAGGAAGAGAAGACAAGCCCGAAGAGGCCAGGAGTCAGATACACGGGCTGGCCAGAGAAATGGAGGCGAACACACACATGCACTCAGGAGCAAGGCAGAAAGATGCGAGTTCACCGAGACAGGCGTGCGCCGGCCCATCACAGACAAACCCAGGCTGGCCAGGGGCTCCACATACAGGGTGACCAGAGAGACAGGCGGACAGATGAAGAAGAGACCAGGAACAACCAGACAGGACAGGCAGACACACAGCCTGAGGCCTTGCGCTTTGCCCTTGACCTCTGTCCCACACCTGGGGATAGCTACTCCAGGCTGAAGAGCAGCCCAGAGCTGCAAGGCCCAAACCTGTGCAGATTCTGAGCCCCAATATCTGGAGGAAGAAATGCACACAGAGGCTCAGGCCCTGGGGAAAGGAGGAGAAGCTGGGCACAGGGCTGCTAAGGACCGGGTACACCTGCACCCTGGCACCTAACGTGAGGGTGGGGAAATTCAGCCAGACACCGGGGAGCCCACAGCCCGGGCACCTGAAGGGGAAGCCAAGGCACGGTGCCTGCTCCTAACTGCCTCCTGCCAGGCTGCCATGGTGAGGTTCAGGCAGGGCCGCCGAGGGAGGCCTCCTGGGTCCCCAGCCAAGAGCCAGTCGGCAGCCAGCTCACCATGGCAACCTGGGCAGCGGTGGCAGAGCAGGCATACGCCCTGCCAGCTGGAGGATGGAGAAAGGGAAAGGAGCTGAGGCAGGAGGGGACCTCTGGTTTGAGGGAGCCCTGCACATTTATGGGGCAGGACCTATGGTAGGTGTCCCTGCTTATTGCCAACTTCCACAGAAAAACAACAGCAGCAACTTCAGGGACACCCCCCACCCCAACTGCACACTCCCAGGACACGGAAGTGGGGATATCCCACTGACCTCATCAAGCTGTCCTTCCCAATGACCCCTTCAACTCACCTTGCAGCCCTCACAGGCGCTGACCCCATAGTGGTAGCCTGAGGACTTGTCCTGACAGACAAAGCAAGGCTTGTAGATGCGGGGTAGAGGGGGCGGCGAGGGAGGGCTGGGCACTATCTCTTCAGAACTGCTGCTCTGGGTCTCAATGGCTAGAGAGAGAAGAGGGGAGGGGCAGTTAGAGACCTAGGCCGCCATCCTTAGTACCAAGCTCCACCCTGCCTCACAGTCCCTCCTAAGAGCCTCTCCCAGCCTCACCACTGCTGGCAGGATTCAAGTCTTAAGAAAACTGGGACTCCCCAGCCAGACTCAGGGAAGGAGGCTGCCAATGAAGCCTCCAGCGCCCCATCACTCCTCCGGATTCCTAGGACCCACACCTTCAAAACCACAAAGAGACAATGATAAACCATCAGATTTGTATGTGTGCCGTGACTGTGCTTGGGGAGTAGGGGTGGGGGTCACCCTGATTCTAAAGCTCTTGCCCCTGGGCGGCCTGGCCCCGTTCTCCCCCGAGTTAGGAAGGAGTTAAGGCTTGAAGAGGAGGGAGGGAAGAGGACACAAGCCGGGGGCAGAGGAAACTGGGGTCAACAGGATATTCAAAGCTGGCCACTCCCCCGCCCCCTCTGCTTCCGCTCCCCCCTCCACCCCATTCTGCCAGCAGCCACAGCCCCTCCTCCACCCAAACAATCCCAGGGCCAGGGACCCAAGGCAGGGGGTGCAAACAAGAGTCACAAATGCTGGGCAGAGCAGGAGGTGTCTCCCTGAGATAGGCAGGGAGACACCCTGAATACAGGGAGAAGAGTCCCCAGGGCCCCAGAATCCCATCATTCTGGGTACCCCCCATCTGGGGAGAGACGGCATGACAAAGGGGGTCTGTTCCCATCAATGCTCTGTCTGTCTGGCCTCAATACCATGTCCGGGTTAGTACCCCTCCCCTTCTGTTATTCAGCTCCAAGAGGGCAGCCAGGAGGGGTGACCCAGACAGCAGGGGCAGCCCTCACTGGCCAAATCCTCCCCAGTGCCTGGCTCCATGCCACCCATCACTGTAGGCAGAACAGGGCTGGGTTGGGCAGGGGCTATCTGTGTCCAAAGCCTGGGCAGCTAAGGGTGTTGGGTGCAAGATAAGAACTATGACTGAGGCAATCCCAGATTCCCAAGGGGCCACCCAGCATCGTCCTGAGGCCTACCACGTTCAAGTCCACTTGTCCAGGGCCAAGGATGGATGAGGATGCCTCGCCAAGTAGACAGATCCCTGCCTCCTCCCATATTCCACAGTCCTACTGAGCCCTACCCCAAACTCCAGCACATGAAACTGGCTGGCATTTAAAGGTGCCCACAGCGCCTGGCCCAGGCACCTTACAGACATGAGTCACATGGCCCCAAATCACATGGCCCTAAAGTTGGGGCACAGGGGAAGGAAGCATGGGAACACCAGGGGCTGACTCTGTGCTACCACCCTCTGCCCTTACCTGCAGACACAGGGGGAGCTACTAGGCGGCTGATGACAGGGAACTAGGCCAACAACCTCGGCAGGGCTTTCCTGGCTCTTAGTAGTACCTGGGCACCACTTCCTGGCCAGCCTGGCTGACCAGCACTGCTATGGCCCCTCATCCCCTTCCCTGCCCCAGACCAGCCTGCGGCAATGGGACAGTTGATGCCCACACTGCCCCCAGCCCAGTAGATTCTCTCCTGACCTCCCCCGTCTCCCCCTGCCCGCCCCCCACCCCCGTCTGCTCCTCACCCCAACACCAACTGCCCTGGCCTGGTTTTCTCCCACCTCATTCTCCCCAGGCCAGACAAGCAAATCAGACAGGCTGAGAGGCCTGAGAACAGCTGCTGGGGGGAGGTGGGGTTGGGGGGCCTGGGTGAGGCCAGGAGGCAGAAGGGGTGAGCCACAAAGGAGCCCTTTGTTGTGCTAACTTTTTCCAAGACGTAAAAGCAGTAACAATAGACAATCCAGACTGGCGGGGGGAGGGGGATCAAGGGCAAGGGGGTATGTGGAGGGCTGGGGGGACCATGGTCTAGAATCTCGCTGAGCACTCCGACCAGCAGAGGAAGAAGGCACCGACCTCCCCACCCCTCCTAATCCACCGTTCGCCCTGGGCCCCGCCTCTCCCAAGGCCCCACTTCTAAAATGAAACAGACTGGAAAGGGAGAAAGGACTGAGGGAGGTTTGGGGCACAGAGTGGGGTGTCAGGAGGGGAGCTAGGGTATGGGGAGTCATGGGGGATACCAGAAGGAGGGGTAAACAGCTCCAAGGCCTGGGACAGACCAGAGGGTAAAGACCCATAAAAACGTGGAGCTAAAGCAAAGTCCAACAGAGGGTGTTTACAGAACTGAAAGAATGTGCTTTTTAAAATCATTTTTTGGCAGAATGGGAGAGATGACCAGAGGCGAGGACTACAGTTTAGGCTAGGCAAGGCCTCCTTTTAGCCTACCCAATGGCAGCTTGGCTGCCTTGGAGGCTGTAACAAGCCTGCCCCCTACCCTCCAGCACATCCCCACCTGTCACCCAGGTAACCCAGCTCTGAGGTTTCCCTGCTCTGCCCTTTGAGCCCAGAGCTCGAGGCCCCACCTCCCCAGGCCTCCAGCCAGCAACCCAAGGAGGTGAGGTACAAGGATCAAGGCGGAGGTGTGGGGGACTCCGGAATCCTCACAACCTCTGCAAGAGGTAGGACACAGCCATAACTCCCTGCACACACAGGTGGGGCTGGGAGGGACACCAACGTGGGAGGGATTGCCCGGGCCTGGCCCCTCCCTGCTGACCTCCCTCCCCAGAGGCCCAGCCCACCAATCTCTCCTCTTCCTGCAGAAGGACTCAGGCTAGAGAACCACACCTTCTCAGCTCAAAGTTCCAGCGCCCCACAGAGGACTGGAACTGACCCAGGAAGCCAGGCGTCCCCTCCCGCCGACGCTGCCAGGGTGCCCCTCCCTCGCTCCCCATTCTGGTAGGGCGGGCGGCGCAGAGCGCTCCACTCCGGATTCCCCACGCCCCCGAGCCGTTCGCAGGCCCGCACAAGGGGCCGGTTTCCTGGAGGAGATCAGCAGGAAATCAGCCGGGCCCCCGGCCAGCGGCTCCCCTCCCAATCCAGCTGGCGCCCGCTCCTCCGCAGCTCCACTCGCAGCCCCTGGGGACGGTTGGGGAGGGGGCGTAGGGCCCTCTGTACCGCCCTTCCTCCTCCCGGGGAGAGGCGGGGGTAGCTCTGGTTGTACCGCAGCAGCGGAAGAAGGCCCCTAGCCCAGCGGCCGCCTGATAAGCATCTCCCCCTCCCCCAACTACGGGCATCCACGTGCTTCACATTCTTGGACGTCTGGGAGCGGGCGGAGGTGTGAGTGGCGGAGATTGGTGGGAGACAGATGGGGAGCCACATCCTGTACACCCCCCTTGTCCTCTAATGCACCGAAATGGGGGCTCTGGGGAGGGAGGCAAGGTCCCTAGGGCCCTGCAGAACCCAGGAGGCCACCTCCTCCCACAGCCAACCTGCTCTTCCCACCTTCAGTGGCAGTGAAGGGGGAGTGGAGCATTCCCCAAGAGGGGGCTGGAGGCGGCTCCAGTCACCAGAGGGCTTCCACACACCCAAGGGGTCCCTTCCAAGGTGGGGGCGTTGGCCCCACATATTCTAGATGGAGTCTAGTTGCCACCCTCAGACTCCAGGTCCTTCCTGTGCTTCAAGGCAAGCCCCCAGACCCCCATCACTGCCAGCCCCACAGCCTCAGGACCCGAGTCCACTGAGACCTCACTGACTTACATGCACACCCACGCTCAGACTATGGGAACTGGGAGCCCAGGTCTCTAGGTCTACTACCCCACCCCAGCACGGGTGTGGGGACAGGACTCCACTTCCCCATGTCCAGTGGTTTAGGGGAAGCAAGGCTCACCAGTACACTGCCTGTCCTACTCTCTGTGATCCTCCTCCCCCTCCAGTTCTGGGCCAGGAAGAGCTGAGCTGTTCCCATGGGCTATGAAAAGACAAGGGCTGGAGCCCAAGGTCTCAGATCCCAGCTTCTCTCCAGCCCTCTGGAGAAGGTGGCCAAGGCAGTGGAAGGGGTGACTCTGGCAGCCCTGCCCCAACTATCCCCCTAGGCGAGGGGGGTCTTGCTCCAGCACTGGGAGAATGAGAAAAAGGGTCCTAGAGTCATCCTCTCACTCTCTCTTCCTCCAAAGTCAACAGTCGGTCGATACCCTCCCTCCTGTGTCTACAGCCACACAGCAGATTCAGCCCTGGAGGCAAAGGTCGGGGGCAGGACAATAGGAAAAGCTGGGACAGAGGTGGCTCTGGGAGGGCAGAGGTGGGCTGTCTGTCCATCTCAGGTCTCTCTTCTCCCAGCAAGAGGGGCTTCAGATGGGGTAAGTCCTTTGCCCTTCAACCTTCTCCAATCTGCCAGGCCCCCTCGAGACCCACTCCAGCCCTCGTCCCTGGCAGGCAGGAGGGAGGCAGCAGGTCTGGGAAGGTGGGAGATCCTCCAGGGAAGAGCTTCCCCTCCAGTGAAGAGCCCAAAGCCCAGTAGGGGAAGAAACCTGAGCCATCTAACAATAACCCACCTTGCGCCTGCTCCCGCCCACCCAGTGTACACTGCCTCACAGCTGTGCAGGAAAATGCCCAGGTGTACACCCTGGTGCGCCGAGCTCCTGCGTGTGCACAGAGCCCTTCCTCCCAGAGGAGCCTGCACCCAGGCAGGGGGCAACAAGAAGAGCAGGTGACCAGGCTGCCAGGATGCTAGGATTCTCATCAGTGCCCCTCTTAGGAAGGGACAGCCCAGGACCTGGCCCTATCCCCAAGTGAAGTCAGGGTAACAAAAGGACTTGGTGGCAGAGCTGGGAAGGGATGCAGTCCTCATTTCCAGAGCAGCCCCAGACCCACAAAAACAAACTCATCCCCCAGAGAACAAACCGGATTAGGATTAGGGGGAGAAGGATTCTTCTCACCAGAGCAGCTTCTCCCCTCCACTCCTGGGGATGAAAGCCTCAAAGATGACAGCCAAGTGTCTGGGGCCAGGACAACACTCCCACAAGGACCCAGTGCCCCTTGCCAAGATGGAAGGTTTGGGTGGCAGACGGGTGTCTGATGAAGTTGCCCCTTTCTGCCACACCCTACTGTCAATACCAAAGATATCGAGGGCTCCCCTGACACCCACTTTAATGACGCAAGAGCAAGGGCTGGGGGCAGCAGCTGTCGCTCAGGAAGGGGCTCTCCCTCGGGCTTTGGCAAGTGTGGGATCTGGGGAGGCGGCCCCTCCCCCGGGAGCAGACAAACCCACACAGACAGGACCTTTACCCCACCCTCCAGCCTGCTGTGAAGCTACTGGATTCCAGGCAAGAAGATATAAACTGGGGGCAAGGGACTTGGGCTTCATTTCTCCCGGAAGAAGTGAAACAAGAGATGAAGGAATGTTTCTTGAAAGAAGGAACCCTCAAAGTTTCTCAGCCCTAATCTAACAGAAATTGCACGCAGGGTTACTGGGGAGGGGAGTGCTGGGGGCAGGGTTCAGTTGTCCAGCAAGGGCAACATGGATTAAGTGAAAGGTAGAGACAAGACCTCCACTGCACCCCGGGACTCTCACGCCCGAGTAGTAGTGGAAGCCCTACCGCCCACTCCCACCCCCTACAACAGCAGAGGGAGAGGCCGGTACGTACAGTGGTTTGAGCCATTCCAAAGCGGAGTCCGGAGCGGGGTGGAGTACGGACCCGGGGCGGGGAGCCCCTTCTCTGGGAGCAAACAGGCCCGGTTCTGGTTATAAAAATCCACCACTAGGAAGGGGTTAGGGGTGGGACCCCCCACTTCTACACTCTCGTACATCTTCCCCCTCGAAGGCAAGAGGTCCGAGCTGGGAAGTCCTGTGCGCCGCCCCCGTCACTCAGCCGGCGGCGCCATCCGAGCAGAGCAGCTGGGGGCGAGGAGACGTCCCCTCGCCCCGAATGGTGACCCAGGCAGGGGGGCGCCCCCTGCCCTTAAGTCCCCGCGTCTAAGTCCGCCGGCCGCTCCGCCAGTCCCAGTGAAAAGCTGGGAAGTTGTGTGTGCTGGGAGCGGGGGTCCCTCGGCTCTCCCAGAGAAGCCTGGCAGGGCCCGGGAACTTAGCGGCTTCACCTCGAGGGGACTCCCGTCTAGAGTCTCGTGGCGTCCGAGGCAGAGTACCGCGGCTCCCCAAGTCCGCAGGCCGGGGGCGGGATCAGCGCGGGGCGGGGGTCAACGAGCACTTCCTCCTCCCCGCCGGGGATCCGGGGCTTCTCCAGGGATTCTCCGTGGCGAGGATTCCGGGTGGGGGTGGGGATCCCGCGCGGTTCCACCTCTTCCAGGCCAGGGGCAGCCGGCGGCTCGCTCGGTCTCCGGTGGTGCGCGCCACAGCCCCCCCACCCCAGCTCTACGCGCCCCCTCCCCTCCGGGTACCACCCCCTTGCCTCCGCCCCGCCCCGTCCAGGCACCGCCCCTGGCTTAACCCATTCCCAGCGGGTCCGGCTGCAGTGGGAGAAACGCAGGGAACCTAGAGGGAGAGGCGGCATGTGGACGGGCGAGTAGGGGCAGCCTGGGAAGGGGGAGGAGAGGAGAGGAGAAGGAGGAAAGGTACCAGAGGAGGAGTACACAGAGTACAGAGGGAGGCCGAGTACAGGGAGAGGAGGGGGCTGCGGGGGGGACAAGGACGGAAGAGAGACGGGCGTCTTCCCTTGTCCCAGTTCCGGCTCCCAGGCTCCCCCAAGGTTTGGTCAGTCCCTGGCCGAGCGATGCCGTGGTGGAGGAGGTGGTGGGGCGGGGAAGAGGGGGGTGGTCCCGGTGTCCTCCCCTTAACACACACCCCCACCCAAGCCGGGCCTCATTTGCCTAATGCAATGCGGCTGAACTCTCGCTGAACTCGCCTGGCGGCGCCTCACCTCCGAGTGACCCACCCACCGCTGCCCGTGACATCACCCGCTCGCCAGCCCGCCCGCGGGGCTCGCCCGCCAGCCCCCTGCCCGGCCGGACCGGGCCACCTCCCCCGGAGACGTGGAGAGCGGCGGCGGGAGGCGTAGGGCCGGGGCGCGCGGGGCCAAGTGTTTGGCACCCGGGTGTGACATTGTGCAGCTCAGACGCTGTGTCGGAATGAGACACCGGCTTGTGTCATTGTCTGTGACATCATGTGTGACTACGGCCGCCGGAACCCGACGCGGCAGCGCGGGTGCTGTTGGCACAAACACAAGCGGAGAGGGCTGTCCTCCCCACGCTCTGCGTGCTTCCGGCGAGCAAAGCCCCGCCCAGGGTGTCTCCCAGCTGGGGAACCAGTATCGGCCCCTGGTGCACTGTCCAGCTCTGGAGAGAGAAAAGGAGGAGCTGTCGCCTTCCAGTTGACTGCTTCATCCTGGAAACCCTCGGGATGCACGTTCCACTGGAAGAAAGACCTAGCTTGGGCAGGTCCCTAGAAAGAGGGGATACCCGTGGAGGAGCGGGTATCCTATTACCCCCACTCTCTAAAAGGAAGGGTGGAAATGTACATGCTACCCAAGGATATTCTTCTAGAAGAAGCCTGGCTCTTTATATATGTTGTCATTTTATCCTCACAGCAACTCCAAGAGATAAGTTTTACAAATAAAACAGGTCTTAGCAAGGCTATGTGGGTTGTCCAAGATCACATTACTAATAATAAAGAGTAGAGCAGGTATTTGAACTTCCTGCTGCCAAAGCCTATGTTCTTACCAAGCTAGGCTGATTCAAGGTATTTTTCTGAGCACTTTCCATGTGGACACCCTGGGGAACGTGCCCTTGTAGACCTTAGGGAGCAACAGCCATTAGGCAAATAATCACTATATACACACACAATTGCAAACTGAGATAAATGGTATTATGCTCTGGAGAATTAACATAGGTACCTAATTTAGGTTGAACTAAATTAGGGAAGAACTCAAATAAAACAGACCTACCGTAAGAGAAAGTTTATAAGTTAATCGGGCAAAGAATAGAAAGGAGTGTAGTTCCAGTTAAAGGGTGAGTCTGTGCAAAGGCCTTGGGGTTACAGAAGTTGGTGCGTTCACGAAGGAACTGGCAGAAGGCTAGGATGATGGAGCATAAAATTCAAAAGGAAAAGGTACATAAGATCAGGCTGCAGAGGTGGGCTCAGGCCAGACCAGGGGGGCTTATAGGCCTCAATAAGGCTTTTGGATTTTATCCTAAATGCAAGGAAAAGCCATAGAAAGGTTCCAAGCAAAGGAAAGGTAAGATCAGATTTACAGTGTGAAAAGATCTTTCCAGCAGTTGTGTGAAGAATGGATTATAGAAGGGCAAGAGAGACCAGGTAAAAGCTACTGCAGAAGTCCAGGCAGCAGACAAGGGCGACTTGGCCTAGGAAACTAGAAGTGCTGATGGACAGAGGAAGGTGGATTCAATAGATATTTTAAAGGTGGTACAATCAACATGCGGGAGTGGGGTAGGGGGGTATGGGAAAAGAGGTAGCAAAGAGACTTTGTGTGGCTTATGCATCAATGAAGTTCCTGAGACTGCAAAGCAGAGAAGTCCACTGGGCTGCTGGACAGGTGGGTGTGGGGCCCTGAAGTGCAGTCAGGGCTGCAGATGGAACGCTGGGATCTGGGGGCAGGTATGCAAATCTTGACAGTGGATGAGACTAATGGGGAAGAGGACGGAGTGCTTCTATGCCCTCGGGATCTTTCAAATGATGGAGCAAGGCCCTGTGCTCACAGCTGCAAGGTGCTAAGGGACTTAAGACTCTGTCCCTGCCATCAAAGACCTTGTGGTCAGGAAAAGATGTCCCAAATGGTTACAGCTCATGGCAGGAACGGGAGAAGCAACTTCATGGTAGAGAGATGAGTGTTGTTAAAAAATAAATAAGGACGCAGAAGCATTCTAAGTAGAGAGGCAGAGTGTGGCAAGGAAGGGGGAACATCTGTGAAGATTTCTGGGAAGAGGCGGTATTCAAGATGTTCCTTGAAGGATAGATAGGATTTCCGGAGCTGGAGAGAAGTTAGGGCAAGAGGCCCGTTCTGGGCAACAGCAAGGTCATGGGGCAGGTCAGAGCAGAACACGGTGTCCTGGGGCAGTGGGAGAAGTGGGAAACAAAGAAGGCTCTGGCCCGCAGCTGGGGTTGGGGGCCTCCAGTGGCAGCTGTCTGCAGGCCTGGGGCCCCATCCTGCTCAGCCTTATCCCTCCCTCAGCTCCTTCTCAGGGCTTTGCATTTAGTAAGCCCTCAGCAGGTGTGGGCTGAACTGGCCCCCACTTGTGCCAGGCAGGGCCCCCTCCTTTCCCCAACCCCATCTGGAGGGGACAACAAACAGGAAATCATGAGGCCCAGTGCCAGGTGGACACTGGGTCCCAGTACAGAGTGGTGTCATCCCGCAAGACAGTGCCCAGCTCTACCCTGCCCCTCACTATCACAGCCTTGCTGGGTATGTGAAACTCACCAAGGGCCTCAGCAGGAAGCAGGCAACCATGGCCTCACAGCAACTCGCCCAGCCAGGGAGAGATTAGAAGTTTTGCTTTTTTTTTTTAATTTTTATTTATTTATTTGAGACAGAGTCTCATTCTGTCACCCAGGCTAGAGTGCAGTGGTGTGATCTCGGCCCACTGCAACCTCCATCTCCCGGATTCAAGCAATTCTCATGCCTCAGCCTCCCAAGTAGCTGGGATTACAGGTGCACACCAGCATGCCCAGCTAATTTTTGTATATTCTGTAGAGATGGGGTTTTGCTGTTGCCCAAGGGTGGTCTCGAACTCCTATGCTCAAGCAATCCTCCCACCTTCGCTTCCTAAAATGCTGGGATTACAGGTGTGAGCCACTGTGTCCAGCCAGAAGTTGCTTTAAGGAGGAGGAAACATTTGGAGAGAGCTTGGGTGACCTGCCCAAGGCCACACAGGAAGAACTGTGCTTTAAGACTCCTGCCCATGGAGGGCCCTTGGTCTGTATGCTGGTTGAGGTTTCCAGCAACCCAGAAGTCAAAATGGGGAGGGGGGCACCTCTATTTCTGACAGCCAAAGGTTGAGTGGCCTCCAATCTACCCTGGGAGGCCCAATCCTTGGCTGTGCCCCAACTCCACAGAGGAGGAGGAGGAAGAAGGCACTGCCCCAAAATGACTTAGAGATGGGAACCACTTCCTCTTCCCACAGACACTACTCCCTCAAAGGGCAGTCGGGCCTGCACTGGTACAGCCCCACAGGCGACACATCCCTTGGCATGGGGTAGACACAATACCTCGGCCCTGACCCACCTAAAAGGAAGATGGGCTTCCTTCCCTGAGTCCCCTCCCCCTGTCCATGCTGGGATCTTGTCCAGAGGGAATCTGTGCATTATCCTTGCTGGGAGATAAAAGGTGAGGGACCCCATTTTCATTAAAAACTCCATGTCATGGTCTTTTGGCTGACTCTACATTTCAGACTCCAAAAAAGGCATTGCTAGGCAGCACTCCCTCTGCCTGGGCTGTCCCTCCGCCTGGGCTGTCCCTCCTATTGTCCAGGGAAAGAGTGGGAAGCTGGGAAGATGCACAGACTGCAACAGGGAGGAAGTGGCAGAGCATAGGAAGAAGGGAAGGACACAACCTCCTCCTTTCTGGGCTCACCCAGACCCTCGGGCGTTCTCCAGTCTCTAGGCATATGAAGCAAATATGCAGCCACCCTCTCAGGGCTCCCATCCTCAGCTCCTCTGTTGATGGCTTGCAACTTCTTTGCTTCCATCCACAAATTGAAACAAATTAAGAATAAGAACTGTGGCTTTTACACTTTGTTCCTTCAGTGTCTGTCTGGAGATGGGGGGGAGGGTGCCCGCTGAGTTCTGCAAACTCTCGTGGGCTACAGCGGGCAGATTTGGGGGTGGGGATGGTGTGAACAGATTGTATCCACAGCTTCCAGGACAGGACCGAGATCTGGCCCAGGCCCCTTATCTTTCTTTCTCTCCAACCCTCAGGATCCAAAACAGAGAGGAGGGGGTATGGCTTGTGCCTTCCTACGCCCCCTACCGGGGAAAGGTAGGTCCTAAGGCAGAGAAAGGGCCTCCGCAGTGGGGAAGGGGCTTTCAGTCAGCACTAAACCCCACCCCCCACACTTCCCATACCCAAGAGTGTGCCCCACAATCCCCTCTCAAAGCCGCCTATCTGGATGGTGGAAAACAGCCCGGCTTTACAATCCTACAGTCATGATTCTGCAGTACTTTAACCTCCCCCAGCACTGTGTCCTCTGTGTAAGTGGGGATAATGTCCCTCTTCCAGGATTGCAGGGATTAAAATTTGTAAAACACAGACAAAGCCTCTGACACACAGTAGGTGCTCTATAGATGTTAACATCCCATTCTCTCCAGCTCCCACCTACAAAGGGCCTGGTGCCTGCTGGGTGCAGTGGCTGACACCTGTAATCCCAGCACTTTGGGAGGCCAAGGAGGGCGGATCACAAGGTCAAGAGATCAAGACCGTCCTGGCCAACCAACATGGTGAAACTCCGTCTCTACTAAAAATACAAAAATTAGCTGGGTGTGGTGGTGTGTGCCTGTAATCCCAGCTACTTGGGAGGCTGAGGCAGGAGAATCGCTTGAACCCAGAAGGCGGAGGTTGCAGTGAGCCAAGATCGCGCCACTGCACTCCAGCCCGGGTGACAGAGTGAGACTCCATCTCAAAAACAAAACAAAACAACAACAACAACAAGCCAGGTGCAGTGGCTCACGCCTGTAATCCCAGCACTTTGGGAGGCCGAGGTGGGCGGATCGCAAGGTCAGGAGATCGAGACCATCCTGGCTAACATGGTGAAACCTCATCTCTACTAAAAATACAAAAAAATAGCCGGGCATGGTGGCAGGCTCCTGTAGTCCCAGCTACTCGGGAGGCTGAGGCAGGAGAATGGCTTGAACCCGGGAGGTGGAACTTGCAGTAAGCCAAGATCACACCACTGCACTCCAGCCTGGGCAACAGAGCGAGACTCCGTCACAAAAAAAAAAAAAAAAAAAAAAAATTAAAGAAACAACAATAGGCTGGGCGCGGTGGCTTACGCCTGTAATCTCAGCACTTTGGGAGGCCGAGGCAGGCGAATCACCTGAGGTCAGGAGTTCAAGACCAGCCTCAACATAGAGAAACCCCATCTCTACTAAAAATACAAAAATTAGCCGGGTGTGGTGGTGCATGCCTGTAATCCCAGCTACTCAGGAGACCGAGGCAAGAGAATCACTTCAACCTGGGAGGCGGAGGTTTCAGTGAGCTGAGAGATTGCGCCACTGTACTCCAGCCTGGGTGACAGAGCAGGACTCTGTCTCAAAACAAACAAACAAACAAAAAAAAGAAACATGCTCAGAGAGGTTATCAGCAAGTCATAAGTGACACAAATGTCCAAGTTGTTGTTTTTGAGACAGGGTCTTGCTCTGTCACCCAACAAGCTGGAGTGTAGTGGCGTGATCACAGCTTACTGAAGCCTCAACCTCTCAGGCTCACGTGATCCTCCCACCTCAGCCTCCCGAGTAGCTGAGACTACAGGCGCACTACCACACCTAGCTAATTTCTTCTCTTTGGTAGAGGCAGGGTCTCACTATGTTGCCCAGGCTGGTCTCAAACTCCTGGGCTCAAGGCCCTACCTCGGCCTCCAAAAGTGCTGGGATTTCAGGCATGCGCCACTTCACGCAGCCAGTGTCTAAGTTTTATTTTACTATCTTTTTTTTCGGCGACAGAGTCTCATTCTATCCCCTAGGCTCCTCCGCCTCCTGAGTTCAAGCGATTTTCTTGCCTCAGACTCCCAAGTAGCTGGGATTACAGACACATGCCACCTCGCCCAGCTAATTTTTGCATTTTTAGTAGAGATGGGGTTTCACCATGTTGGCCAGGCTGGTCTCAAACTCCTGACCTCAGGTCATCTGCCCGCCTTGGCCTCCCAAAGTGCTGGGATTACAGGCATGAGCCACCGCGCCCAGCCCAGTGTCCAAGTTTTAAACGCAGCACTAAATGCCTTCTCCACAGCCCTCAGTCAGACCCCTTTGCCCATGGAATTCCCAGAGTGAACAAAAAAGGCAGATCAGTTCTCCCTTCCAAACCAGAAGAAAGGTAAGAACCCAAACCAAAGACCACTACTCTTTAAACACTCTATGCCCTAAGTCA